AAGCCCTGTCCATTTCTGGCTAGGACTTTGTTTCTGAAACTTGATCATATTTGCAGACAGTCTTAACCTCATTGTGTGGTGAGTCATTAACCATGAGAGGAAGGAAGGAAGAGAGAATTAATGCAGCGGTGCTGTCAAGGCAAGGACAATAATAATAACAATAACAATGATAATAATATTTGTTTTTTCTTTACTTTGAAAATAAGATCAATTCAGATAAGACAATACATCAAAACCTCCAGTTTCACATTCTGCAGTGAAAAACAAAGAGAATTTGAGAGGTTTGAGTTAACCCTGCAAAATAAACACTTGCCCATGAGCTCTGGGATGGACTTGCCCCAGCACCCAGTGCAGGGTGTCCTTGCAGCCTTGAGGGCTCTGTGTGGTGCTGTGCATCCCAAATCTCTGCAGCCCAAGGAGGGAACAAGGACTGACATGGCCCTATGGTGTCTGGGGTGACATTAATAAAACCAAGGCCTCCACTTGAAGAGGGAAGGACAGGGCTGTGTGTTTTCAGTTCAGGTTCAGTTTGAGACTCACCTACTCTGAGGTTTTTAATTATCCCTTTTAACAAAATATCTGCAGAGTGCAGCATTGAAACAAAAGGAAGAAACAAAAGAATATGGAAAGCAGACTTTAGTTTCCTTTACAAAACTTTTTATAGCTGTTTAATATGATAGAGCCACCACATCACATACAACATCCTCCCCATCTCTGGAAATGTTCAAGGGCCAGGTTGGATGGGGTTTGGAGCAACCTGATCTAGTGGAAGGTGTTCCTGCCCATGGTGGGTGGTTGGAACTAAATGGTCTTTCAGGTCCCTTCTAACCCAAAATACTCTGTGATTCCATAAAATCAAAAAAAATCCAACCTGGAGCTTAAAGAAAACTTCAGGAATAACCACTCCCTCTTAGAGACTCCCAGAGAGTAGGATCTCTTTCAAGAGCTGCTGGAATAACAACGGGGTGCCAGAATGTTCTGATCAGAAAATTTAAAACAGGCAAAAGAAAAAAAAATGATCTAACAACAAGTAGCATGTGAAATACCACCAGATCCTGCTGCTCTCTGGACTAACCCCAATTCCTGTAATGGATTTATTTCATGGAAGCCATTTCATACAGTCACAACAGTCAGGACAGAAATACAGACCTAAAGAAAAACATGATAGGGAAAGAAAACAGTGGCTGAAGGAGAATTTGGGAGATCCAATCTAGAAACAAGGCCGGGGGTCCCCAGAGTGGCTCTCCCGGAGGATGCACGGCTGTATCCCGCGCCCATGGGTTTCAGGGACTGCCTTGCCTGTGCCCAGCTGAGGTTATGTTTCTGCTGCAGCTAACACTTGATACCAAAGCTGTGAGGTTCCTGTGAGAATTCCATGATTCATCTTGGTGTTTATCAGCCAAGGGCTCCCGAGGACCTGACGCCAGGCTCTGACAGGGAGCAATGGGAGTGCAGGTCTGGGCAGGCGCCTGTAAACCACCCAGGGAACATGTGGCAAAACCAGCTGTGAATTTGCTCTTGTGTTCATTCAGGGGGTGAATTATGTCCAGTGTTCGATGTGGACGATGATGTCTGATGCAACAGGGACTTTTGAATTAGCACATAAAACTCTTTCCATAAAGTACTTGGTCCCCCTTCTTGCAAAGTCGTTACAACTCCAAGGTGTAAGCGAACAGCATAAAATTCACACTGATCCCTTCAATTCTTTTTTAAGCATCCTTAAATCCAGCTTTTTTCCCCCCTGCTATACATCTTACTTTTTATAGTTAAAAGTAATTTTAAAGCAAAAAGAACATAAACAATATACACTGACTCTTGACACTCCATTGCTTTTTTAAACTAGAATAATAAAAATTTGCAAATGAACAAAAGAGTGGGAGGAAGATATCTGATTTACAATGTTTTTGAGATAAAGAACACTATAAAAAAAGATCAATGTGAATAATAAAGCATTGTTAACTGAGTCATGACATTTCTATTCTCAGGGAAGATTTGAACAGTAGAGCTCTGCAAATGAGCACCTTGTGCCATTTTCAAAGTGGGAGGAAGACATATAATTATAATTTTTAAAGTGAAGAGAATTTAAAAAAAAAATCTCTGTGAAAAAGTTTATTGAAAAACATATCGACATATCAATATGACATAAATTACTTTAATTTTTATTAAACTAGGAGGGGAGAAAACCTCTTTTTGAAGACTGGCTGCAGAAAGCATTCCTTGGAAAGAATTTTCTTTATTAAAAACTCTTTCGCTAAGATGAAACAGCACTGAATGTCAGCACTACCGTATATTTATTCTGTAACTCTTCCAACAGCTGAGATCTATAAAAGAAACATATTTTCAAAACAGTTTTAACCTCCATTGTCTTGATCATTCGTATTAACATTTTTCATGTCACTTATTGAAATCCCTTAAAGGAACCTTTTATTCAGTCAAAATTAATGAAGCCGTTTTCTTAAACAGCCTCCAAAAACTAAAAAGGACGTAATGTTGTGCATTTTATTTGACATACGTTTTCTGCCATTTCACTTAGTTGTGTGATGAGAGCAATACTTCATATTTATGCTATCAAATCTGCAGAGAAAAGTGATTTTGAGAGAGAAGAAAACTAACTCTGCTCTTGCTGTGTGTGCAATTTAAATCCACAGCAAAAATACAGCATTGATCAGATTACTCCAATTGAGTCATTTAGTGCTTTGGCATTCCTGAAGTTAGGGCCCAGCTGTGAAATCATAGTTGGGGCCAAACATTGCTGTTAGGTGAGTGCACATGGCTCCCATTTTCTTCAAAGGGAATGACACACATGGCCAATATTTAACTTTCACCTCTTCCATTCTTCAGCTAGCAAAGCCAGAACCAACGGAGTATATGCAGGCAATTTAATAGAATTAAGAATATAATCAAGATTTTCCAGGACTTACTAGTGATTTGGGATATATAATTCAATACACCTCAAAACGCAGATGCTCAGCATATTCTGAAAATCAGGCCATCTCGAATGCCTTACTTTAGGCAGGTAAAATCATAAATTACTCGGTACTTTGGCCATTGGATCCTAACAAACTGGGTGTAGGATACCTTTTCAAAGCCATAAGCTCTAATTTCTGGCATCTGGGATGCCCGGGAGACTTATGACATCCCAACTCATTTTGGGTCCTCTTTACACACACTTTTTCCCTGCCATTACCGTTATGGAACTTCAACACAGTGCAGGGGCCTTTCTGCAACTGACCCCTTGAAAAAATTTAAGTCCTGACTCTGCAGGTCCCCTGGGATGGACTGGGCTGCTGGGATGGCCCAAAAATCTTTGCAGCATAAGTGCCACAGAGAGAAAAAAGGATGCATCCCAAAAATCTAGCTGTCCCATGCTGTATGCAGATCTTCACTTCAACTCAAGGTCAAGTGGAAAACTTTCCTACCATCCTTGCTGACTCTCCTCTCCACTTTCCCCCAACTCCATCTGTTCCTCACCCATCTCCTTCGTTCTGCACTCGCCTCCCTCTTCTTCCTGTGTCCATCTGTTCCCTCCTTCCTCGACACAAGTTGGGGAAGGGAAGTAAATTCAGTCATTCACTGAACAGATTTCAAGATGAACCCCCTCCCTCTCCAGTTCTAACTTCATTCATCATGGTAAAAATTATAATGAATAGAAATGTTGAAGGTGAAAATTTATTAGGGATTGTGTTGCTTTCTTATATGAAAAGCAGTTAAAGCTGCATATAAACATTGGCTTCATTCATTTTTTCTTAATATATGGTATAATTAGTGAGAAATATTAGTGGAAGTGCTTGCTATGCAGTCCATCAACACATGCCTGTCAGAGCTTAGGATCTGGGCCAAAAGTTTTTGCCAGTCCTGTGATAGATTTATAATAAGCCTATAGAAGGCTTTACAGTTAGCTGGGTCACTAATTCATGAAGTTAAAACGTATGCAATGAGGTCAAAAATTCACTATTGATAAAATACCCCCTCCCGGGATTGCACCATTAGCTTTGTTACTGCAACAGCAAAATAAAGTAAACCCAAAGCTCCTGTGAATTACCAGTCCATCATCGTAAATCAGAAGCAAAGCACTTGCACGAGTTCATGATGTCATATGAAGCCCAAGATATATTTATAGCCTTGTGTACTATTTCCTGTTTCCTTATGACAAAAATAAACAGTCTCTAAATCCCCTGCATCCTTATGCCTGAGCTCAGCAAAGTGTAATGGGCACGGAACTATGAAAGCACCCGTGATGTATTGGTCTGGAGCAGCTCACTGCGGGGCGGCTGTGGCGCCCGCTGTCCCTCTGGCCTCTCCCACGTGGATGAGAGCAGTTCCCATGGAGTTTGCTCCATCTGCTGCACTCACTGTAGGGGTAGTCCCACACCCTTTCCTATTTTGCCTCCCTGACACTTGGAGAGATAAGGAGAGAAGGTTTAAGCCTCCAAGCCCTAGGCATGGAGTGCGTGGTGTGGCAAGGGCAGCCCAGGTGGAGGAGCTCAGCACCCATGTGGGCACCTGGGCTTGCCACCATGGGGACCTTGGGCATCTTGTCCACCAAGACTGCTAAGCCATGGAGGTTGGAGCATGGGCTGAAATTTCCTCTCTCCTCATTTGCTGATGATTTTGGAATCTCATGTAAGGCTTCTGTGGTGTTTGGGTGTGGATAATGCCCCATGTTTCATCGTATACCTCCCAGCACTCAAATTTTCTATTCCTACCTGAACTGTTGTGTTTGCTGGTGATCCTCTTCACCTCTTTTCAGATGAAGCTTTCTCTCTTAGCAATTTGTTTTAATTTGGCTTCCTTTCCAGAAATGACACAGAAGATAACAGAAACAATGCACCATCCCATGTAATCTCCCCCTGCAAGGAAGCACACTTGCTTCTGTTTGACTTCAAAGCACCAACTCCCAAAGTCAATGACTGTCACTAGGTGGCTGAGGATGATAGCTGTGCCAAAACACATTTACTTACATTTATCCCTCTGCAATCTTGGTTTTTTCTCCCCCCAAGACAGCCGTACCAGCTCCCTGCCTCTCCTGGCACTCCCTGGGCTGACGCCGAGCAGCGAGGACCATCCAGGTAAGCTGCTGGCCCCGTGCATGTGTCACATTGTGCAGAGATACCCCTGGCATTCCCTCCCATTGCTGCTGGAAGACAATTATGTCCTTTAAACTAGCAAGAAAAAGTATTTTGTTTTTCTTTTTACTTTTTCTTTTTTTAAACGTGCCCATCGAAACCTGAGGTTTGGGTTTCATTTTACTATGAGTCTTTTCAAACCCAGTGAGTTCAGATCAAGCCATTATACTTACAAGTTATCATCCATCAGGTCTGACGTAGCTCTGCCTGCTTCATCTCGGGACTGAGTGGACATGGCACACAGCTCTTCCAGTGATGAGCATGTGGTATATTAAACAGACAGGTAGTGACAGCAGTGCATGGGATAACAAATGGCAGGGGGAGCAGCCAGGCATTCCTTTGGTTCTTTTGCTGCACTGATACACCAAGATGCCTCATGGTGAAATTAAAAAGCTGCATGTCCTAAACTGCTAGAGTTTTCCACACAGTTTAGCATTAACCCTTGGGACTCCTTGCCACAGGGGTGTGAGGCAAAGGGCCACTGCCAAGGTGGATTGGGAGCAAATCCCACTGGCCAGTAGAGCCACAGGCTCCCTTGTCCTTTTCTTGTAAGATGTGGAGGAGCCCCACGATGGTGACAGATCAATTCTCCTTCTCTTTCAGTGGCATCTCCCCCTAACCAGTTTCTCCAAGAGCTATTTGGATTAGACACATTGCTACAGTCCCTATCCAGCAGAACAGAGCACCCCTTATTCCCCCTGTCTGTTATCAAAACCAGACTCTTTATATGTCTCTATAGAAAATCTAATTTCAAAAGCATGCTAGGAAACCCCAGCCTTCTGTTCTCCAGGACTGCAAGACACTGGTTTGTGTCCAAAGCCTATGAAGAAAAATAGAAGTGAGGGGACCTCCTGCAAATGCCAGTCTTGGTATCACTGCTCCTCCCTGTTAACCAGAGGGATCTGGGACTGGCTTCAGTGGAAAATAAGTGATTTACTTTGTGCTTTCATGAATTTAGACACTGGCGAGTATTGAGGCTGTATCTTTAATACAAACATGGGTGAACAATCCCAGTCTTCTACTGCAAGAGCCAAGGCGAGTCCCAGCTTCCCCATATGAGGAAGAAAGTTGCTACTTCATGATACTATTTAAAAATGGCACATTGTGGGGGTGTACCTTTAGCTGCCTCTGCCTAACAGTCTAACACTGAATAGTCTGAGATTTCTTCATCGTGATGCATTTATTTTTCTTTTAAATTCACTTCAGTGGTTGATTTCTACATGTTAAAAACACAGAAATTTGCAGACAGCTGAAGCTGAACACAAGCTCATAAAAGAAGCAGCAAAGCTTGACCCTCTGCCCATCTTTCATTGTAATTTAATATTTTATATTCTCAATTAGCAGTAATAATAAATAATATCAGTTGTATATATTTTTAAAGTTTATTTTTGCTGCATTTATTTGTTCCAAACTCTCAATCTACTACTGTTCTATCCAGCAACAAACTATAATAGGGGGGGGAAAAGTGCTAACCACCTTTTTTTTTTATGCTGGTCTAGCATAATCTTTATTTCTTCAGACACTTTGTGCAAACATTAAATTGATAAAAGACATAATGTAGATGGACCCACAGCTGAACTGAAGGTAATTGCATACAAATGAAATGGAGACCTATAATTGTACAGTGCTTTAGCCTCTCCCGCAGTGTTTTCTGGAAGCAAGGATCTCACTTGTCATAGCAAGTTGCTTGTTACGGTGATTGCATGAAGACTTGATCTAGCTGTACAAGACAAGTATAACATTACTGAAAGGGAGCTTTTCAAACTAAGAGTCTGACACTAAAATGTACTGTATTTTCCAGGATGTAGTATGCTTTAACAAACAGAAGAGTCCTTGAGTGACAGCTTTTGTTATCCTTTTGTTTGATGGTGCTGTATCGAAAAATTCAGGTTATGTCTATGTCTTTCTATTTCTGGTTTTGATTTCTCTTCAACAGCACTTCAAGAATAAAAATTGACTCGAAGTATGAATAGTAGAAGTCGGTGGATACAGTAAATGTTAGTCTGGCATTTACTGATTACTTCTGTCTGATTTTTTTTCTGTCTCGCTTGTTGAATGCTTAAATGCATTCCATGGACCATTGTGTTGTTGCAGAACTGGGGAAGTCAACAGATATATTGTGAAGCAAAACATATCTAGTTTGGATTTTTGGACCAGTTATGAAAGTGGAAAATTATAGTCATTCTTGCCTACGCCTTTGGATCTGATCCGTGAGTGCTCAATGGCTCAGCTCTCAGTCTGGACAAACAGGATCCATGTGTAAGATTGGCACCTGAATAGCAGGTGGGGCATGTGTCTTTTGGACTCACAAATCAATTATTATCCAATAAATCCAATGCAAAAGCAGGACTTTGCTTCCTCTAGAGCTCTGCTGCTTCAATTAGCACAACTTTTCCTGGAGATGGTTTGTTATTGAATGAAAGTGCAGGAAAACTTGTGGTGTGTCACTGATTTATAAACACTGGAAAATAGCGATTACTGCACATGTAAGTACATCCAAAATGCATGAGTTTTCACATTTTGGACTGAAGAGGCTGGCCAAGAAGACAGAGAGGGGAAAAAAAGAGAGCTATATTTATTTTCTCTGGTGGGAAGACCATCAACAAATCACCACAGATGGGCAAAACCAGATATGCACAGCCTGGCATGCTGGTTTCCTACAACCGAGGGCACAGCCTGCAGGGGAGAAGTGCTATGCTTTGCACTGCTGGGTCACACCCAGTGAAGCCACCATCTCTCCTGCCCTTCCTAAGTCTTGCCTGTGGCTTTCCTTCATCATAACACTCATAAAACCTGACAGTTATAGGTTTCTGAGACTCCTCTCTGTGCCATTGCTGTCTTACTGTCTCTTTTCCTCTATTTCTCTCCATCTCATCGTTCTCTCCCTGTCTAAGGCCAACCTGTAAGCCCTCCAGGACAGGGTAATTCCACATTTTCTTCATAGTAGACGTCATCATTACAAGTTCAAAATCAAGCCAATACATCTGCCAACACACAATTTTAAAGCAGTGATTTAAAGGTAAAATGAAAATTAAAATGATAGCTTAGTATTTCTGCATATCCTCTCCCAAGATCTTACTCTACTAACCTTTACCTTTCTACTTATTTCACCACGTAAAAATGACCTAAAATGGCATGAAATTTACAATGAGACAGTGAGCAGAAATTTAAATGAATTGCTCACTCATTCTATGCATAAATAGAATCATAGAAATCCCAGAAGAACGAGTTCAGAAGGGGTTTCTAGAAGTCAGCTCATCTGCTTGTGCCACAAACCAGTATTAACTGCAGTAAGAATAGGTTACTGGGGTCCATGCCCAGCTGAGCTCTATACACTTCCCTATCTTTTCTGGGGACTGCTCTGGTGCTTTACACCTCCTATGATGAGGATTTTGTTCCCTGTGCAATCCTAATTGCCCTTACTGCAGCTTGTGACAGTGGCCTCTTGTCCTTTTGCCTCTGTGCGCTGCTGGGAGGAGCTGAGGTCTGGTTTCTCCATTACTCTGGCTATGAAGTAGAACACAGCATCCAGCACCGTTCTTTGCCTTCTCTTCTCCAGGACAACAAAGCCCAGCTCCCTCAGCCTCTGCTCATACAGAAGTGCTTCCAGACTCTTCACATCTTCAGTGGCCTTCACTGGACTTGCTCGAGGTTCCACTTAGACCTCAAATCCTTGCTTGTCCCCACTTCAAGCCTTAGGACCTAGTGGTTTTTCACTTACCTTGTAATTCATCCATTCCATCCACATTTCCTCCTCTTGGCTGCAAGGACACTGGTGGAACAACTGCAGTCTCATCAAGGTTTCACTCTCTGCCAGCCTTTCCTTGGCTTTTCTTCACTATATGTCAGAGGTCAAAGGTATCTGAAAAACAAGAGATATGCAGGGTCTCTCTTCGGGGTCCTTGCAGTCAAGTGCAAACTAACCACTTTAGAGCACTTACTGTTCCTCTCAGAAAGTAGTATTTGCAAAACTGAGTTGTTTGTAAAGATTGATTTTCTGTATGTAGCTCAAGAGCAAGCATATCACAAGATTTAAGTAAGATAAGAAGTGACGCTGTGCTTGATGTGAGGTGCAGGAGTTAATCAGCTGTAGATAAGAACTGATGAGGTTTTATCATCCCCGCCATAGAGAGAATGACTGTGTTTCTTGGCCTCTTGATCACTTCAGAGAGTGAGTGAAACTATATATCAACCCATGTTTATCTGTGCCTGAGAAGTTCTTCAAGAATAAATTGAACTCAGAACTCTTCTTAACCTTTCCCCTAGTTGGGGCTTAAAATTAAGCTCTCCCTCTGGTTTTTGAGCTGCCTCTCTGGCACGCTGACAGCATGTGAAGTATCCCATCTCCTAGCTGACTTCCAGGCCAACACCACAAGTGGGGATGAAGTTATGAAATAAGGAATCTGGATGTTAAACAGAGACCATCTGGCTTTCTTTGCTACAAGATTATGAGCCATGGTGAGCTGGCACATCTGCATCAAGGTACCCCCTACGTGTACATTGTTGGCTGTAAATTTAGGGAAAGAGAAACTTTCCTATTGAAAAATAACAAGTTAATTGTTTTACATTTCCTATTGAAAAATAACAAGTTAATTGTTTTACATTCTTTTATATCATAAATTGAAGTTAGGATAGGATACTCAAAATAGATGATAACTGAGGCAATAGTTCTGTTCTCTCTCAAAATCCAATCCCACCCAGTGGAAGTAAATTATTACTTAGCCTCTAAGTCCACTGGGTTTAAGACAAAACCTTAGAAGGCAAGTTCACAAATACCTATACTAAGAATAGACCTCTGTAAGGAGACTGAAATCATTAGGTAAGAAGGGTTAGGCCTTGGAAGTAAACAACTGTAGGCTTGGAAATTCTGCATATGTTATTCTTTCAGATCTCTGTCTTAGTATCACAGTCTATTTTTTTTTTTCCTAATCCCACCAGACAACCAGCTTACAAATGAAAAACACACAGATGAAAAGCCTATGAAAGGTATTGTTATGAGTTCTGTCGCAGAATTCAGCATCACAGACGCTTCATCAAAGGGCACCAAAAATGAGAAGAAATTGTCAGATGCGAGCAGATCATCCATTGCTTCCCTGGAGAAATGCAGAGAATTCACTTACATTGAAGATGACGCATCAGTACATCAGAGGGACAGTGACGGTACGTTTTATAAAACAGATTACATTTGATTTCTAAATAGTGCCCATTGCAAAAGAACTATGTGTATCCGACTTGAAATTACATGTTGAACAGGAGGTTCAAGAACATCGCCAAAAGCAATGTTAAGTTGCCCTGCAGACATTTGTGTGGTAGATGAGATTCTCTAGAAGATGATCTTAAATTGTCAGTGATATTAAAGTCATACGAGAGGAGTGTAGAGCTTATTGTGCCACAGAGCATTTGTACTTCAGTAATGAGTGTTTGCACAGAGATACCAGCATCAGTATCAAATAAATGCTATTTCTGATTACTCCAGTGGATGTGAAAAAAGGCTCTGTGAAGTATTTTAGAAGTTTCTTATGTGTGCCTTTTGCAATAATGGATTAGTGTGTTATATCCTGTATATCATTTAACAATTCCTAAATTAAGAATGTCTAAATATAGATCAGCACAAAAAAATGCCATGCTCTCCAGGAATCATTAACATCTTTATATAAGATCCTGTATAAAAGGGATGTATCTGATACATCTATTAGAATGTACTTAATTTTAATGAAGGATCTGAAGTATTTATTTTATTTAGGGGACTTGTCCTCTAGTCCAGACACTCCCAATTTTCTGAGTTTCCTGACTATCTCAACCATTACTGGCACACAGGTGTGTACCATGTGATGCAAATAACAGATTTCATACTCCTTAAGAAAGCTAAAAGTGAAGGAAATTAACAACAAAAAACCCCTCCAATCTGTGCTCAATTAATAATGTTAAGGGCTGGATGGAAGCCAAGAAAACCAAAGGAAGCCAGATTTGTGGTTGTCACTGCATACTCAGCTCACTCTACTCTGACAACTTACTGTTTATTCTACATACATGAGGCCAAATCCTGTTTTGTGGTGCATGGAGAACCCCTGAAAGCAGAGGAATAGATGAGGAAATTGATGATTATGTTGTTCTGTGCACTCAGGGAGGAGCAGATCCACATTAGTGTCACTAAGTGTGGCCAGCGTGGCTTCAGTGAGCGTTGGACCATGGCTGTTCAGAGCATCATCTCTATAAGCAGATGCCACCAAACAAGAGCAGGAAAAATTAGAGATGAGGCATGCTAGAAAAATTATTAGAAATTCTTCTTTTGTGCTAATTAATCTACTAATGTAGAGAATGAGAGCTGAGGTCATTGTATTCACTGAGATAAACGCAGTAACGCTGTTTGGCAAACAGCAGGGAAAACAGAGGGGAAAACAGGAGATTGCATCTTCTTTTATGCAGTTTGTGGCTAATTTATTTTCAAATATATAAATGAATGCATAGGAATGGATGTTTAATTGCTAATATCTATTATTTATATACATTACCCCACTTAAAACAGGACCAAAAAGCCTCACACATGCAGGTTTTTCGAAATGTGTTACATCCATTATCACAGTTCATGGTGTGTGCTCTGATGGGAATTTAAAAGCATCTTTACTGCACATCACAGAGTCTGTGCTGAAACATTACTTTATTATTAAAATTTCGTGCTTTTTTTGTGCTCTCTTTCCTGGATGAAGCCCTAAGAATCATATCTATTCTCTCCAGATTACATAAGCACCATTATGGCTAACACATTCAAGGGAAAAAACCTGTTATTAGAAAACAGATCTTTGGAGAGGGAAAAAAAAATTAAAAATCCTTAATTAATACATAATTTTGAATTCTGTCTCTCACATCTATGTATAGGAAGGAAATTTCATAAACATAAAGAACTAAAAAGAATAGTCTTAATTACACCAAAGACTGCTGAATAAAATCATTACATTTTCTACAGTGTAAATTTCATACAATTAAATGCAGCGGTGTCATCTTATTAAATGTTTCAATTTTATAATTATTTCAGTTCATTTAGTTTGAAAAAAAACATAAGCATGAATTTACCAAGTATCACCGAAATCTAGTCATTCTTATTCGACAGAACTGACTTAGAAGTTAGTTGTGCTTGTCTGAACATAAATAGATCTTGACATATTTAAATAAGTATTAAAATTGATAACATTGGTGATGATATGACACTCAGAAAGAAGTTCAATCATATGCTATTTATTCTTGATACCTACCTTAACTGCTTATTTTTTTAAATAAAGAAGCTGGATTTTTTTAAATTTTGTTTTTCAGCAAGAAAGCTTTTTTTTTTTAAAAAAAAAAAAAAAGAGCATAATTCCGGAAACTTCCTGGCAGTGAACTTAATGTTACGTGAGAGAGAAAATGCCACAACAGAACCAATGCAGTTGAATGAGTTCACAGTTAGTCATCCTAGGGCAAGAAATGTGGTTATAACCATATGCTTTCCTGAAAGAACCAATGAAAAGACATTCATATTGTTGAAGGCATTTTTCCCTTCCAAAAACAAGAAGGGGGGGGGAAAAAAGAAAAAAAAAAAAAGGAAAGGTCTGGGTCTTTGCGCTCCAACTGGATTCACACAGTCGGAATCTCACACCTGCTGCACCCGAGCAGCCTCCCCAGATGCTGGAGGCTGAGCAGTGGGGAGTCAATTCATTGATTTTTGAAGGGAACAAACAAAACACAAAGCTTTTACTCATGGTGACCAAGTTTTCAGGAATATTCACTAGCTACAGACACACAACCTAGATGACCTATTTTCCAAACTTTTTCCTCCTTTGAAAAATTGACATTTGTGAATGAAAAGGTGAGAACCCCATTTTGGTGGGGAGGTAGAAGGACCCTGGGCTGAGACTTGATGATCACGCTGCCCTCAGTGAATGCTCTTCTCCAGACCTGCTCTACCTCCCTGTCCTTGGCTAGTCATTAAGCATTTTTAGTGCAAATTCTTGTGAACATGAAAATAAACTCCAGTGTCACATGTGCTGGTGTCATGGTTTTGTCCCAGGCTGGAACTCAGCCCCACACAGCAGCTCATTCACTGCCCTGCTGCAGAATGAGGGGAATTAGAAGGGTACAAGTGAGAGAGCTTATTATACAGTTTAATGGGACAGAAAAAGAAGAAAAATAATAATGAAAAAAGAAGTAGAATATACAAAGCAAGTGATACACATGGCAGTTGCTCACCACTTGCCGACCAATGTCCAGTCAGTTCCTGAGCAGCAACTCCTGGTCATTTTCTCCCTGATTTATATACTGAGTATGATGCCATATGGACTGGAACTTCCCTCTGGCCAGTTGGAGTCAGCTGTCCCAGCTGTGTCCCCTCCCAGCTTCTTGTGCCTCTCCAGCCTCCTTGCTGCCTGGGCATGCAAAGCTGAAAAGTCCTTGACTTGGTGTAAACTCTGCTTAGCAACACCTAAAAAATTAGTGTTCTATATCAACATTTTTCTCATCCTAAAACCAAAACACAGCATTGTACCAGCTAAAATTAACTCTATCCCAGCTGAAACCAGGACAGTTGGTCAGGCAGAACATGCGGCGTCACCAACCAGCAGCATTTCCAAACTCCTGCAAGGCTGCAAACCCCGCTCAGAGCATCCCTGATGCCTGAAGCTTACAGCCCAAACACTTAAAGAGTATAGAATCATGGAATCGTTTAGGTTAAAAACGACCTTTAAGATCATCAAGTCCAACCATAAATTTGGTTCAAAGTGCTTATTCCTCTGAACTTCACTGCCATAGAATGTTTCCATTCAAATTATTTTCATGCAGCTGTTGTTTTTCCAGGCACAAATATCATAGAAAATAAACTTTTCATTTGTCTCTGTGGAAGTAGTTATCATCAGTGTATTGTTAGCCCACCCTGTGTGCTCTTTTGCATCTCATTTCTGTGAAGCCACACAAGCCTAAATCTGGGTAATCCAGCATGCCCTTGTTCTCATGTCTCCCTGCTTTTCCTCTCTCTTAGATGAATGTGCAACTCTTATCCTGGCCTGCTTGTTCTGCCAATTTTGGGACTTTCTTGTAATGCTGCCTGATACCTGTGAACATTGGCTGACAGATACCTGTTGTCCATCCAATAGATATTACCAGACCTCTGACGAAGACCACGGCAACAACGACTGCAACTGTGACTGTGACATTGATTGCAGCCTTTTAGAGTCCTGCCATGAGACTGGGGAATGCCTGGAACTTGCCATGGAAATTTCTGAAGTCTGCTATCGCTAATAGGAAAACAATTGACAAAATTCCTCAAAACTACCTGAAAGTGAACTGACAGATTACAAAGGAGATTTTTTTTTTTTAAAGATATTAATAATAACCAGAGATTTTGCCAATGAGGACTGTGAGCATCTTGCTGCTCCCTCCCTGGAGGTCAGTATGTCTGTACCGTTCTGGTTGTGTGATTTCACAAACTGCTGAAACCAATAAAGGACAAAAAGGGTCTTCTCCTTTGCCATAGATGACTACAGAATTCCTAAGTGCCAAGTGTGCCACATGCTTTACTCACTGTCAATCCAAGGCTTTTATAAACCTGTAATTCCTTTAATCACACGTTTCCCCATTCATAAACACAGGACAAATTAGGACATTATTTTAGGACTGATATATATATTACTTCATCTTCCTAATGGATTCATACCTAAATATCTACTACACATTGTTGGTTATTATAAATAATTTATGATATAGCATCATTTTATAATTAAAAATTTATTTATTCAATCTCTTAGAACATGCTTATATGCTCAGTTTAGATAGAAAAGAAAATTAAATGAATTAGAAACCATGCTAGTGGTAATTACAGCAAATGTTGCTAAAATCTCCAGTGAATTTTGTGGAGGAAGCATTTTCACAGGGTAGTGCCATTCGACAGTGTATTAATGTGTGTGCCTATGGTTATGTAATAACAGGTTATGCCTATTGTTCATTAGTTATAGGAAAGGGCTCCTTAAGTGTAATTAGCCTAAATGGGAATTGACTGCATGCTTCCAGAGGAGAATTACACCGTGGATAGCCAGTAAACTCCTCTGCTTTATTTTCATTTTGAGATTTCTGCAAGCAGCAGAATATTGCCACCTATTTTAGTGCAAACAGACATCTCCACCTGTGCACAAAGGATTACAAAATGACAGTATCTATCCTGGCTGTGCTTTCAAACTCCCTCTATCTCTTTTCTGATGGCAGGTCTGATTAATAAAAAGGAAATACATATTGCACATTACACGTATGACAACAAAAGCACAAAAATTCAGCTGCCTGAGGGTGCAGAACACAGGTATTAAGCACAGAGGAAAACACAGAGTTGCTTGCTCATATTAGATATTTATAGACTAACACCAGAAACAGTGTTTGCTTTGCACAGGTACTAAAATTTCTCCCCTAAACCCCACTGATCCCAGTGCAGAAGTGCCTGGAGAATCCAAAGGAAAGACCCTGAACAAGAGTCTGGGATGCTGAGCATGCCTGAAATCATTGAAGCCTCTTATTTATTAATCAGAGTAATCCTGATAGACAAATATTTAATGGGAAAAAAAAATTCATGTGAATCACCTTTTCTTCCCCCCACTTCTGGAAAATTTATGTCTTCAAACCATCAAAAAGTAATAATTAGAATCACTAACAATCTTGGTAGAGGTGTCTTACAAAGCTTAGTGACCAGAGGACAACAAACCTCAGCAATGCATGGAGCAGCCCAGGACACCTTGTTTCTGTGCTCCTTCCAGGACTTTGGTGGGGAGTAGAAAAGTTTTGTTTATTTTAATTGTGACGTCACATTATGAGTTGCAGCTGCCTGAAGGAACAAGATCATCCTTCACTGCCACACCAGTGCCAGCCTGCTGGCTGGGTCTGGATCCAAACCCCAAAGAACTGCCCACTGCCATTTAGGAGGCACTGGTTTGGGACACCCACCCTGGGCTGAGCAATGTTGAGTTTTAATGGTCCAGTTTCCATTCTCCCACAGATTTTTGGTCTTAAATTTTCCAATACTGAGCCTCATAACTAAACTCTCAGTGCAACGTATCAGGCCACAGAGCCTTGGATCATTCTATCCTTTCTATCACAGGTTATCCTTGGCAAAGTGGCATGTGGGTGTGTATGAATAAAAACACTGACCCAAGGCACTTAAGAGTCAGAAAAAGGGAAAATTTGGCCCACATACCATTTCTTAGAGAAGTACCAATAGAGATGCCCGTTGTCAATCCTTGCTCTTGATGCAGCTGCCCAAAAGGGAAGATTTCATGTGCAATGGCTGGAAGGAACCCAAGAGTGGAAACCAGGGGGTAGCATACCCCAAAATATCAGTGTGGGACCTAGAGATGGAGAGCTTGTCTTGCAAGCCAGGATGTCTTGTTTCAGTTTTGAACCTGCAAGGCAATAAGCATTGACCACACAGGCATCACCCATAGCAACTGAGGTCTCCATTCTGCTGTGGAGCTGAATTAAGGACTACTGGCGCAAATATGGAGTTTTTTTCAACTGTTTTCCTAGGAATTATTCTTCAAAAGATCTTTTTTTATCATGTTTTAACCCACAGGATGGGATACTGAGGTCATGTCTACTATAGGGCATGGGTAAGGTCAAAGACAGAATTACAGGGGTCATAGCCATATCCATGGCTAGACAGGATGTCCTAACAACACGAATGGAATCACACTGTGGGATATATTGAGGGCTGCTGTTGTAGTGAATGGTGGTATTTTAAATAATGCAGTAATATCTCCTTGCCTAAAATGCACAATGGCACATTGCTCAGTTTCCTGCTGTAGGAAGTAGATTTTTAGAGACCTTCTGTATGAACGATGAAACCTTGAAAAATGTATTATTTCATACAATGCAGCAGAAGTAGCAGCTTATGATGACTTTCTTTTCTGTCATAGAATTGTTAATTGCAACATTGTGTTTTCATGACATATAGGAACATTTTAATATATTGACACCAGAGAAAGTCAGTCCGTCTTTTCCATTAACTATTCCAGAAACTGGGTTTCCTCTTTGAAAAGCCATCCTATTCCCACACTAAGCTGAATTCCTAGGGCAGAAAAATACCCATTTATCAGATTTGAACATGGGTAGACATTCCAGTGAAACAGAAATGTTTGGAACAATTCAAGGCTGTCTCTGTATTTTCTGTTTACTGGGAAGGAAGGTCTGAGCGCCTGAGTAGGAGGCGTTTGGGTGGATGGCTGTTCGGAACATGTTGGACTCAGCTGTGCTCCCAGGAGATGTCAGTGTGTGAAACCAGCTCCTCAGAACAACAAATAGAAGTTACCATTTTGCGAACGGGAACATCGCTCCGACACGACGCCTCTCCCTCCTCAGCACCAGGAATGCGCCGACAGATTGGCTGGGGGAAGAGAGAGACAGAGATAATAACGAAGAGCTGTACTGCTGCCTTCTACAGGAGGGGCCCATGGGATGCTCTCTAAGGATCTCCTCTTGGAAATGACCCAGCAGTCTCACCCTTGAGGGGAACATGTCTTTTCACCTCCTTTCCCTGTGTTCTCAGAACACAACACAGATTGGGATGTAAACTTTAGGGAAACTGACATTTGCTAAATGTGGGAAAGGCCTCAGGGTGCTTCCAAAAGATTAAAGATGAGTTATCTCTAAGGAAATTAAATTCTCTGACTGACCGTGAGCCATTCTAAAATGTCGTTCTGGTGCCTTACTCTTCATGCACACTAAATGAGGGGCTGAAAAAAATTATTTTATGTACACCCCCAAATATAGGGCTGGAGCATATTATATTACCTCATTTAACTTTCCTCTGCTTCCTAAAGCATTTTAATGATCCATACTCTCTCAAGCAATCATCAACTAGAACAATCAACATCTTCCAAATGTCAAGACAATGCACAACTCTGCCTTAACTCCAGTGCTGCTTAGGGATTCAGGATGGCTACTACAGCTGAGCTCTAGAAGACTTTGGTTCTCAGGAAGAAAGCAAAGTACAAGAACAATCAAAATGTTTGCAATTGTATTTCTCCTACTATGCTTGTACAGTATCAAAAAAAGTTCAATAATGTTGGACTAAGAATGTATGTATCTATTAAATTTCTCTTTTAATTACATGAAATGGGTGATTCCATTGCTTTCATCTTCTTCTATTTGGATTCTCTTAAATGCAAGGTAAGTTTTCTATTATGCAAGAAAATGAGTTTACCAAGCAGACTGGGATTTCCAGGCACTGCTCCACTATAATTCACTGTAACTGAGTATTAATCATGATTAATAATCTATCATTCCTGCGGCTTAAAAAAAAAAAAGGAGGGAATTATTGAGAAACTGCACTTTGTCTTAGCATAGTTCATATAATTGCACAATGGAACAATTCTATGGAATTCATTATTCTACTGGTAATGATCTAGATTTCCTTAACATTGCACACAAATGGGAATCATTGCCATCTGATGGATGTTCCGTGGCCTGTGCAAAACGTGTTGGTGGGTGCAAGCCAGTTCATAATGGAGGTGTGCCCATATCACAAAAAACACCATTATAATTGGTTCCCTTAGGAAAAATGCCAAGGTCTGAGTGTAAACAGAGCACTTTCTGTCCCAAGAGCTCACTCTTCTGTGGTCAGAGTTGAAGCACAACAGAAAGAGCAATGCTGAACTACATCTGTTGCCTCTGTAAAGGGCTTCACTCTCCTGAGGCAGCAGTTGGCATCTTGGATCCTCTGTATAAATAAGGACAAAATTCACTCTAAGGCTCACACTGATGCCTCTTCCCCCCACACTCATTAAAGTCGTCATGAAGGTTGTGCAAATATAAAATGGAACAGAGATGGTCATTGTCACAGTACATAATTTGTCCTCTTTCTGAGTGTATCCAGAAAAAAATACGTTGCCACTAAAAGAAACCTCATTTGAAATCTGAGAAATCTACAAATCAGAAAATGCTGGAAGTCACTGACTTACCATCTCCCAGTGCTTTCCAATGGTAAGCCACTCTTCCTCTAGTATGGAACAGGGACTTCCAACAAACCAGTTCTCAAGTTAATTGACAATCTTGCTTATAAAAAGAAAAGAGAAAAATGAAGTTATCTCATGGATATTTGGTTGATGGCCTTCCTGAGCAAAGCAGTTTAAGTAACAAAGTAATATTGGAAAAGCCTTATTAAAGAATCTTACAAATCAAAGTCATCCACATGCTCATACCACAGTATATTGAAGTGACCACAGTACAAAGAGAGGAAAAAATCCTGCTTTATACAAATACACAAGAAAATCACCATCAATATCATTAAAATGCAGACTCAATTTATATTGCCAGTTTTGCCATGATTTCTATAAAGTAAAAAATAATGCCAGAGAGCAGTGAAGAAAATATTATTAGATCAACTGTATAAAAAGCATGAATGATTTCATTAGCAAGCACAGCTGAGAAAAGACAGGATTTAAATCAAACCTAAATATTATAAGACTATACAGCCAAACTGACATGTCTGTTTTATAAAACATACAGAAGAAGCAAAACAAAAGTAGAATTTTGGGTTTATGCTGTAAGACACATTCCACATTAA